CCGCCACTCATTGGCCTCACTCCTCTCGCGCAGATCCTCCTCGGCCCTCCTACCTCTCCCTCGCCCGCCCCTCCCGCCCTCGCGCCGCAGCAGCTGTAAATCGCTGGCGCGCGCGCGCTGGGGCCCCCGTCGTCGCTTCGAGCGAGCGCCCACGACGGCGACATCGACACGAAGGCGGGGGCGGGGGCGGCAACGGCTCTCCTTGGCGCAAACGCCCGCGCCCTGATTCACGGCCGCAGCCACTTCTTAAATCGCGCGGGCGGCGGCAGGTGGGGGCGCGGCGCCTGAGAAATGTCGTCGAAGGGGCGTCGCCTGCGGACATGCAAATGCCGCCCGCCGCGCCGGCCGCTTTGCATTTCGTTCCGGCGGAGGAGGTCGCGGTGGGGTGGCGGCGGCGCGCGACGCGATTTCGGCTACCGCGGAGGAGGGCAGGATGGGGCGGTGTTGGTGGTAGAGGCGGAAGAATCAAGAACGGAGATGGAGGCGGATTCGCACGAGGGACGATGTTGACGAAGGCGGCGAAGTGCATGGCTAGCATCGCGGCTGAAAAAGCGCGAGACGGGTGGGCGACGCAGAGAGGAGGGAACGGGCGGGGAGTGGCGTGAAGGGTGGGAGGGAGGCGGGAGGCGAGAGGGAGAGACAATGAGTTAGGCAATGCGGAGAAGAGTGGCGGAGGGGGCCGGTGACGCGGAACGAAAGGGAGAGAATAGGTTAAATGGACAAGTGGGGGAGGGGAGGCAAGTCTAGAAAATGAAACGAGATCGATCTAGGGAATGATATCTTGAGATAGCGAAGGGGAAGAAAGTTGTTGAGGAGAGGCAATGGGAAAGAGGAGAAGCTAAGAAAGTGGGAGAGTGATTCTGAATAAATAATCAACAACGAGATGGATTAGAGTGATTGGCATGGAAGTGCATTGTGCTTCAATAGATGAGATGTTTGGTCAGGTTCTTTCTACTAGGAATGAGATATTATTTAAGATTTAAAAAAAATAATTATAAACATTTTCACGTTTAAAAAGTTTTTCAGTTTACACTCCACATTTGTATTGTTGGCTTCATATAAACTTAATTCTAAAATATTAATTTAATTTAATAAATATTGTCTTGAAGGGAATTAATATGTGACAGTTTGTGAACGACGCTATAGATAATGATACGGATGTATACTCGTATTTAATTTTTTTATCTGCCTTTATTGACACTTACTAGCTGAAAAGGCGTCACGGAAAAGTGTAGCTCTCACGAGTCGGGGTGCATTAAGTAACGTTTTCTCCCAACTGTCAGCACGTAAAGGTATTTCCGCCGCCGCCGCCGCAACCTCAGTTCCGCCGCTAGGGAGCGCCTCTAGGGCGCCCGGCGACGGAGGAGGCTTCTCCAATGCCGACGGGATCGTTTTCCCGGGAAAGCAATTATGTGCCGCGGGGGAAGTTATATTTAATTACCAAAGGGCTCTACAATTCACAAGGGACAATTACGCAGCGGAGGGCCCTCACGCGAACAAGCTGTTCCGGACGACCGGAGACGGGGCTGGCTGGAAATGCGGGCCCCCCTCCCCGCCCACCTGCCCCCGCCTGCTGAGAGGTCCGTTGATGGAAGGCGGCTGTTTGCCAACAGGCCCGCAACAAATGGAGGGTGGAGTTTTCTCTACTGATAGGCGCAATTGGTAGTTCTTGCTGTACTTAGGTATATATTTTTTAATTTATTTATATTTTGAAAGATTTTACAAAGTTCGGTTAGTGTTCAACTTTAATTTTCATTTACTGTTTAGCTATCTAACTACGTGTAATTAACTGCTAACACAAATCTACATTTGTCGAGAGGACTCGCAGGGTACCTCAATTGATTTATTCTATGAGTATGTCCAAGAATGCATGTAAGCGATATCTATTTTTTTATTCGACTATGTGGTTCTGTGTATTTACCCAGTTTGAGATTCCCGCCTTTCTTGAACAAGTGCAGGTTCTAGCAAAACTTTTTGGTGAGATAGACAATATAGCGAGTAGCGGGTTAGGTGTTTAATTCGGTGTGTAGTTGCGTGATGTTTTTGGTTACTCTTATCTTTGACGTGCGTATCAAATACGTAATTCCTTGAACAAATATGATGTCGCTGATTTTATAAAACAAGTATACTTGTATTTAACATATGTGTCTCAACACATATGAGAATTTCAGACTTTAAAGGCGTTCAATTCACACGATTGTGAATGGCCAAATCAATTAAATTGGGTTTACGATTTTTTGCAAGTCTTGCCTACATTCCATTCATTCTAACATTAATTACACTGACCTGAGAATTCAAACTTTCTGATCTTAGGACAATATTTAACTAGGGATCTTATATATTTCTGACATACTGATTCCGGAACTGAAGTCAGTTTTTCTTTATCACATCAGTCTTTTTTTTGCAAAATCAAAATGAAACAAGAAATATGAGACAAACGTACAGGCAAGATTACAATTAATTTATTGTAATATGTAAGAATTCCCCTTTCTTGTTACTTTTGCTGAGCTTAACTACTATATTACATACTTATGAACATAACGTAGAAATACTTAATACATTGCATATACAGATTTGAAGAAATGCACGGCCAAATGGACCAAATTCCTCATAATGTATTGAGAATGGTAAGACCTCGGTTTCAATGTTATAACGTTTTAACTTGGTGTAAGAAACTTCTTTGCCTTGCTTTTCGCGTGTGAGGTGTAGTTGTATCTTCTTCGTGCAGTAACCAACAGTAATCTGCAAGCATATTTCTGTTCCATTTCTCTTAATATCTGCGTTTTAATTCATTTAGATACTGACGGAATCTTTCTTCTTACTCTTCGCACAGCATTAGATTCTCAGAGAAATAGTCCTGCTGTGAATGTAACATGTGCACTTTTAAGTTCATTGTGCAACCTAAATCTTGGAAAGAAACAAGCATTTTCTTCACCTTTTGTTTGTAGTCTGAATGCTGCCAAGAACATTTTTGATTCCATCCTGGAACGATTTCCCTGCAGATTGTTCTCCAGTGCACGTAACATCTTCATTAGATTGAATCAATTAGCATCAGAAAGAATTTTTCTGATATCAGGGCCTGTGAATAAACCCTCTCTTATTTTGGCATTACAGATGTCAGGGTGCATATGTCACAGGAACTGAAAGCATTCACCTTCATTGTTTAGAATGTTAGTGAATGGCTTCATAAGCTCAAGTTTGTTATTAAGCGGGGCAACAGTGTGTCGGACTTGCCAAAAATAGTTTCTTGGTTTAATCGAGAAATCAATCGGAGATTGGATCGGCCATTTCTGCGTCACACTCAGATTCGGAAAAGAGACTGTCTTGTAAGTGTTACGGACGCTGTGGCTCTGTTACATCAGGACCACGAGAAACGGGGAAATTCGCTGATAGAATATTCCTTGGAAGCACAATAATACTTTGGTTTCAGCGGTTAAATCCCGTGACTTTCACAAAACAGAGGTGGCAGTCGGTACTGTGGTCTGCAGGTTGTCGCCACACAATTGGAATTCCGAATGGTAACGATGTTTTCTCTCCGATCACCCACTGTCGTAACTACTCTATACCTATACGTATTCCACAAGCTGTATGTGGTGTCAGGGCTTGTCTTCTCCAAACAGTTCGATGCTGATGTAAGTGTAGTAGGCCTTTTGCACAAACTCGGTTATTTTGCGTTGCTGTCGTATCGGGATGAAACTTCCGCACACATAACTGAATGTATCTGGACTGTTCTTGCAGCCAAGACATGGCATGTTGATATAATTTCAATAAACAGATAATCTTTTTTATTGAAATACATTGTGTATGTATTCAACACCGTAGAACACTTAAGACAAAAATTTATTTTCACTAGCAAGCGAAACTGTTGTCAGAATAGCGGGCAAACCACGACAAAATGTTGCCACTCAGCAACTTGCAGCATTGTTACCAGCTCTAAAGTTAAGCGGATTGTACAGGGTTGTCAGATGGCTAAGGATCTTGATTTAATAAATTAATCTCGAAATGTTAATTAAAGCAATTCCTCCTGCAACCACGTGAGGGCATTATGCATGAATGTGATAAAAAGGTAATATGTATTTTTTGTAAAGACGTGAAGTGATGTGGAAAAAATAACGTCGGATCCTGATTCAAAATGCAAAAGTAATTCTAGAAAGCAATACAAGATAGCAGCAATGAAACCATAGCAGGCCAGTGATATTAAAGAGTTGTAAGTAATGTGTTTTTCCTCAGATGTTTTGAAACTTTCACAACAAAGTAACCTCTTAGTCTCCATAAAAAGTTGGAGTAGAAGAAGTTCGTAAAGCACATTGCTGCATTTATAAAATACTTTTTGTTTTGTGTTTTTTTAGCTTATTCAGTATTTTCTTCCCTTAAATATTGGAAAGAAATGAACCTAACATATTACAAAATACGTGATCTCTAGAAGATCACTATAAAAATTAAGCTTCAAGAAAACAAAAAGTTAGTTGATACATTTTGTAATAATTTCAACATTCTTCATTTCACCGGACAAAACTCGTGCAACATTAATAAAATGAGTACAATTTTTATAACAATGGTAAATAAATAATTAATAAACGGTAGTTAATTACCTGCAGAAACAATATGCTATTTATATTTAACACTTCACATAAAACGAAGAAGTTATATTTGCCTATTATAAGAAGACAAAGGCATTCAGTAATCAGATTACGATCTAGTAATTACATTACGATAATAACTATCTATGAAACTTATTAAATTGAATGAATACAGCTTACGTTAAAAGACTTCCATCTTTTGTGGCATCCGTTAACCATGAAGTTTTGAAGGAACTTTACCAGAACCCAGATAAACAGAAGATTCCGGAGGTGCTGACCTCTTATCTCTATCGGCGATGGCTGTTCCACAGGCGAAAACGAGTAAAGTAATTATGAGAAATAATATACTGCCAAGAGGAAATGCACTCAGATATTTTAATTGCTGCTCATATATTCGATCTGTCACACTACTATCACTACACTCTCATCGTTCGTTAATGTTTCTCATCCAGTTCGTACGTGCAGGCGATTGGACGCGCAGGGAGTGAGGGCGGTGGCCGGCGGGCGGCGATGGGTGCATCGAGTGTGTCCGCCCGGTTCTGTGCAGCCCCCTGCTCTGCTGCTGCCCGCCCGTCGCTGCAGTATTTCATAGAGATGGTTCTTGGATTGTTATTACAAGCACCGGTGGCAACCGGCTCTTGATATGACGTCAGACCATAATCATCGTTCCTCATGGGCTCTTTCTTTCCACCGGGAGAGGTGGCTCAGTCCACCAGCTGAATGCCACTGCAGTCCCTCTGAGCGGGAGGACCTAGAGTCGAGTCCGAACGGTGGAAGGATTTTCGACTAGCTTGCCAGCGAGGTCGATATCACTCGATATCTGGAGGAGAATTCTAAAGGCCGGCTGCTCTGTTCGGTAGTTTTCCGTGGTTTCTCCGATCAACATCAGGCGAATGCCGATGCGGTTACCTCACAAACGGGCCACAGTCCGCACGCGATCTTTCATGCTCTTACGCGTCCTATCCTCATTCCTTACTTCCTCACACTTACACGAACATGCACCACACTACCACACATGCCGGGAGAACGGTCGGGGTTTAAAGGGAGTCCCGGCTTGGCGGGGGTGCGCGCGCGTGCCTTGCTGGTGGGAGATACCTGGTTGGGGAAAACCCTGCTAGCCCACGTAGGTCGGGGTAAGATGTCTCCATACAGCGGGGGAAAGACCACCACCTTCCTCCTCCTCAACTCCTCCTGCTCTCGAGTAAATCACGCACTATACTTACAAAACACTAGAAATCAATCATTATTTCTTTTAGTCTTGACTATGTGGGAGCGGCTTAGGAAATGTTGACAAAATTTTGGTCGTTATTTTCTTGACTAAATGCTCTGAAGAGAGTCCACTAATTGTTGGACACCCTACAACTCGGTTGCCGCGATTTCGGACGAACTGACAAAACTATCAGGGCGACCGAGGACGTCTTTCGTGCAATTTTGTCTCCTCTTTTAGTATACTTCATGTTTTTACTTACCCGTGTACATACGTATATACTTAGTAATATATGTAGTATATGGAATGCTATGAAATGCTGCGAGATTTCAACTAAAATACGTTTTAGGGTCCCCAGATACGGAAAGAGTTGTTTTCTTTTCAAAACTTCCGTCTGTCCCTCCATCTGTCTAGTGTATGTGAACAACACTAGCGCCTAAACAATGTGTAGGATTTTTTTCCAAATTGAAGAAACCCCTGCCCATTTTGCCAGTATCAAAGCTCTGAAATTTTGAAAATCATTCATTAGTTTTTGGAGGTACTTTACATGAAGCCCCTGGATAATTTTCAAAATTTTCTCAAAAATGGCTCCACATTTTTTCATTAAATTTGTTGTAAGAATTGAGTAATTTTCTTGTAAGAATCTTGTAAGAATTTCTTGAATTGAATAATAATGAATGAACTCTGTGAAATGGCATGAACGCCATATTGCTCCATTTTTTTGTTATTCAAATCTTACACAAATTTAATTTTTGACTTGTCACTTACGTGGCCTCTCACGTAGTTAATATCAACATTAGCGGCAGTTTGTTCACATTATTATATTTATGAGTACATGTCGTTTAAATAATGTGAGATAAAGTTTCTCGAAAATTCAACCACATTCTGTGAAAACTATCTCAAACGTCCGCATTTTTAGAAACGCTCAAACGCAATTTTCTCTAAAACGGTTCCAAAATTTTCTCCATAATTTTCGAAAGGATATTGCTAATTGCACTCTTTAATAGAGTAGAGTTCATTTCGGGCTCCAGTTTTTAAAAAAAATATACACAAATGTAATTTTTTGAAAAATCTCTGCAGGCCGGCAATATGATAATTTGCAACAATTTGTAAACACTATTGCATTTGTGAGTTAAAGTGCTACAAATGACAATTTAATGAAGTTTTTCGACAACTCAAAAATTTTATGTGAAAAAGAGCTTTAAATTTCCAATTTACTGTAGCACTTACGCGCTATTTTTTTAAAAATCGCTCATAACTTTTCAAAGAAAATTGCCATTTAGGACGAGGCTTTACTGTTCTTTAATATTCTTAAAATATTATTTCCGATCCACTATTAGGAAAACGAAAAATTAAGAAAATTTCAAAATGTACTTTGGGTGGCGATAGATGGTAGCAGGCAAGAGTGTATGTCATGTTAGAATAGCTAACCGAGATTAAAGGAAATAGAAAACTAATATGGGAAAGTCTGTACTCTTCTGTAGCACTACTGGTTCTTTCTTAACCTCCTGTCGTCATGAAAGAGCTGCCAATTGAGTGCTATGAAGGGGAAGCAAAAGTACTGGTGGAAACGGGAAATGAGAAAAATCTAAAATGAAGACGTGTATCTTATTCTCTTTTGTGCTCTGCAGCTCCGAAAAAAAAAATTTCAGTACTGTGCATGAAGAGAATTGTTGGCGCGACGTGATACTTTAAGACTCTTGGCAGTATATTACTAACAATAATAGTAAGGAATAGTCATGGAGTTTACTGTGTGGAGATCCTAAAATTTCCAAACTCCTAAATAGTATATCTGATAATTTCATGATAAGAGATTAATATAATTTGGGTCATCGGGTCGCAATGAATAACTAATGTAATCCATAAGAGGGTAGAGTTTAATCCTTAGACTCTTAGTGTCATTTCGACCCCATTCGCAAATAATCGTTTGCAACAATCTGAAAATTATTAACATGAACTTATCATCTCAGATATGCTATTTATGTTCATTTTTTCATGTGTTATAAACTTATCGGTTTTTTAAGTTTCCTGGGATTGAAGTAATTTGTTTTTTATGTGGTTGGGGGTTAGAAAAGCTTTCCAACAGATGAATTATATGACTCGTCATTGCCAACAATATTGTTTATTACAATAGCAGCTTTCGATGGGTTAGCCATCATCATCAGTTTTCTGCTGTATGGAAAAAACAAAATAACTCCCTTCATTGTAAATGCCAACGATAACTCACCACAATACCAATATTTCAAACACACGTATACACGTTACACGTATAAATTATGCAAAAAAAATATAAAATGGGGTCAATTTCCTCTTTTTATTTGAGGTTGTTTCTGAATGACAATCTGGCGTATTTGTCCATTAGGAGTTAGTAGCCATCTCTCAAACATTTTCGTGCTGGTGTGGTAGACACTTATGTATATTTATGAGGATATGCTAGAATGTTTTTATGGAAGTATTATTCTTTTTTAGTACGATATAGTAAATCAAGCAAATATATTACATCATTTTCTTAATTAATAATTCAAAATTGCAGGCATACATGAAATACAAATATTGGGCAAAACGTATGGGGTCCAATCTGATCTTAAACACAGTCCACGTAAGTGATGGAGAATCAATGTTGAAGGGTTAAGTGATGGGCACGTGAAAACTCAAATGATGGGCAATGAAAATAGTTATTTGTAACCACGCTCTGGACATTAAGCATACTTTTTAACCTGACCACAAGGGCCAACCATAAGGGAAATGATATGAACTATAAGGTAATAAGCAATAGTGGCATGGCGTGATTGCTAGTTATAAATACATATGCCTTATTGAAATGTCCAATCTGTGCGCTTTTGATGGATTGTACCGACGTTTTTAAATATTACATAACCCCAAATATGAAGTGTTTTATCGGTGAGGGATTTTGTTGATGACTAGATGATTGTGCCAAATTTCCGAAGTGCATTAAAACATGTGCACGTATGTAGCTCTGTTTCAATAAAAGAACACTTCAAACCTTCCATTTAAAGAAACGTTACTCACACTGTTTATATTTTATTAAGATTCGGCCTCTTTGATGTTCAATAACTGTGGATTGTCCGTAAACATTCGACATGTGCGGCTTCATTTTCAGTTTCACCATCAAATAATTAACAATAATATTCTCACATGGTTTTCGACATGATTTTATAAATTATTCCAATGTTAATAATATTACAGTGTTAATAATTGGGCTAAACTAATTCGCCCATGAAACATCCAGCTGCAGTATCCAAACTGACTCTTCCCGAGGTCTGTCATTCTATGATTCTGGCTGGCTGGCTGTCGAAAGAAATCATTTCGCCGAACGATGCGGTATTCAGCGACGCTCAACAGTTTCAGAACCTGTCAAAATGATAGTTCCCTGTCCCGACCGAAGCACACCTATCTTTATAAGAGATTGCTTTTCATAGCGGTTAGTTTCTTCTCGAAAACATCGCCAGGGAAAAGGGCGTTGGGTGAGTGGGGGGTTCGGCGGCTGCAACAGAGACGTTGTGGCTGCGCTGGTCTCGTTCCGGCCGCGAACTCCAGTCTGCCCGACCGCGAGAAATCGTGACCTTTGGCGACGGGGGAGGGAGGAGGAGGTGGGGGGAGAAGGAAGCATTCGGGAGCGTAATCTCCGAGGCACGACCGCCCCCACGCCGCCCTCCCCTCTCCCCACCTCGCTCAGACGACGCGGTGAACAGTTGGGGCAAGATCTTAAAAATCTGTCCAAAAGGTTTTATTTAGGAAATTTAGGGAAGAGTAAGCAGTTGGGTAGACTGGTTCCCACGTTGTGTAGTTCCATTAGAAAAGGTTCGAGGCGTCTCACTGACGTTCTGAGACATTCGAAACGTGGTCGTCGATCGAACAGATGTTTTCGTTTTGGGGCCATTGTCGTCATTCAAAATAGACGAAAATCGTTGGGCGAGTACAATGTTTTCATGCATTATAAATATTTTAAAAAAATATTTAAATTACGTTAATGTTTAAACAAAATTATACAATTAATTGATTGTTTTTAGTGGAAAACTGCTAAAAGTTCCACAGAATTTCACAACGAAATTTGTAAAAACTCCATTTTCTACCATTTAGTTATTGAAATGACAAAAGTCTCTTATTCTGTACTTCGTGTTAAGTCTATTATTCTGTACTTCGTGAAGAGACATTTTTAGACGTTTTCAATGTTTAATCGACCATATTGGATCCGCCATTATGTTTTGTTGAAATGAAAAAATTTGAATCGGTATCAGCGATTTCATCCGCCATTGTTTTTTGCAATATTGACATTGGAATCGTAATCAATCGTGCCCTGAAACCTGGGTACACACAGTTTCATTAAATTTGGATAAGTGTTCATGTTGTGGCCACCTTTTTGAGATCGTACCTCAATGTGCGTCCGTCGCTCCCTCTTCTTCACAGACGGCTGCCTTCAGCCACCTGCGAATTTGGCGCTCTTCGGCTTTTCATAACCGCAGCCCTCGTGATTTGGAGATTCTGTTGGACAGACGGGACAACTGAAAGGAACAGGAGCGGAGATGCCCTCAGAAAGTGAGGAATAAAAGTAATCTCGTTCTATTGCATTTCTCACGTACAATAACTTGGGCATGATGCATTCTAAGTTTTTTTACTTTCTCGCTGCGGAGTAGAGAGAACGTGATGTAATGCTGCGCGAAAAAAACTGTAAATTTTCAGCAGAAAAACTCTTATTACAGGGCCCTGGTAACGAAAAAGTGGGTAAATCCAATTGCTAAATCTAGGAAAAAATCCTTTAAAACGTGGTGTAGTCCATGTTTTTTTGTTGCTGTTCCAATTGTAGCAGGAATCATAAAATTTGGAAGGTTAATAATGAGAGTAATATTGAATTGTGAAATAAATTGCGAAATTCTAAAAAAAATTATTTTGAAAATACCATATTCAGGTTATTAAGAAACGATTCATTGGTCATGCTAGTAGAAATTAATGATGAAAAACAATGGTTTTGGCTGTTTCAAAAATGTATTCTTTACTGACGCTGATTTTCAACATAACAGTTCTGTTCTACCGCTCCGCTAGTCTATCCCGTTTTGATCAATCTGAACATGTTCCCGCACGTATGGACACGTAATGGTGATCGTAAAAAGCTTTCTGTATCAAATGTAAGCATCGCCATTACAAGTCGCTGCTGCTCTATTTGTCTTCTTCTCTATGTTGTACCGCGGAATATCCTTCTCGAGTTGGCGTGAGAAGCATGAAGTTGTCGCCCCTAATCTGTAACAAAGCGTCCAGCGGGCGTGTCAAGAAATCGCGCCCGGCGTGTGCCGATTCGCGTCACGTGGATCCGCGGCGCGACAAGAGCAGGCACGTGGCCGGCATGGCGCGGGCACGTCGCGCACTGGGCGAAGCGCTCGAAGGGCTGGCCAAAATGTTGAGTCGTTATCCAAATTTAATGAAAGTTTGTATACAATGCTTTTTGGTCCCGCTTATTACGATTCCAATGTCAAAATCGCAAACAAAGCAAAAAGGTATATTCAAAATGGCGTATTAAAATTTAAAGAACGTCTAAAAATGTTTCAATTTTCATGAAAATGCGAATAGGGTTTTATGGGTTCACTGATTCCGATTCCAATGTTAACATTGCAAAGAAACGAAATAGTGGATCCAGTATGGTGGATTAAAATTAAAAAACCTCAAAAAAAGTTTTCACGAAAAGCAGAATTGCGGCTAGTAGTAGGTTTTTTGACATTTCAATAGTTAAATAGTAGAGAATGGAGTTTTTATAATTTTTTTTGAACTTATAACTGTTTTTCATTAAGAAAACAAATTAATGGCATCATTTTGTTTAAACATTAATTATTTATTAATTTTAACATTTTTTAAAGCAGTTGTAACAGATGTAAACATTTCACTCAAAATTACGATTTTAGTCCATTTTTAATGATGAAAATTACTGAAAATCTAAAACAGCTGCTCACTCAACGGCCAGTTTCCGATAATGCAGAACGTGATTGTAACGCCTGGGTCCATTTCTAACCGTGAAATTAGACACTCTGGAAACCAATAAATCTAACTGCTTATTTTAAAGTCCCCAAATAAGACCTTTTTTTCGACTTTTCGCCAGCTTTTTGAGACCTTGCCCCAATGTGCGTCGGAGGGGGGGGGCGAGAAGGAACGGAGCGCGTGGGACAGCTCCGAGCAGCAGCTTGACACCGCAGCAATAATAGAGCCACTCCGTCTTGCCAGATGGAGAGATTCAGATCTTTAGAGGACGTAGCAATGAAGAATTTTTCTCCTGTATTCTTTTTGTTATGATTCTGTGAAGGTTGATGTAAAAAACCCTATTGACAAAACGATAACGCTTTAGAATGAACTGTACTCGCATTATCTGATATACGCGTCGTTTGTGATGGACACCATTCCACGTTCAGTTGTATTATCAGTTCCAGTACAATGATGACTGAAACTTAGGAATGCCGCCACAATGTCTGATCGCAATGTTTCAATCTACGCAAAAACATAATCTCATGCATTGTACGGAATATATTTCTTCAGCCTGTGCTGTTGACGAGAACGTGTTTGGGACTGCTTTGGAAATTAGGATTTTCATGAAGTACAATAATTTATGTTAGCATAAATGAATACATAAATTTCAATCAACTCCATTCATTTTGAAAATTAGTTGATCCTATTTATCTTTCATTGTTGGGCATGGTATGAGTTTGTATGTCTCAGAACGCCGTCCCTCAATTGGAAAGTTGTTAGCAGATTTAAACCTACTTAATTATTCAAAATTAATATTCATTTAGGAATGTGACATCTTTTATCTAAAGAAGAAAAATTTCCAGCGAACTAAATTGCAGCCGGTCATAAATACGTAATCCATTTTCAGAAAAATGATTAGACGCTCAATGAATTTTACTTTAGATGAATCATACACAACTTTTAAGACGATACATGTGGGGGCTTATTTCACCTGCAAATAGTAATAAAGCAACTGACAAAGGGGCTTTTTCATAGCTAGGCTTCTTGCTTGTGTGCGGCCACGCTCCGTTCCGCCTCCCTCCTCCCTCCTCTTCCTCCACCCTCCTCCCTCCT